TATAAAATGACACAATTTATTACCATTTTAAAACAAGTCTCACAAAATAATATCCAGAAACTCAACATTTCTAAATAATTTAACACAATAAGTTTAGTCACAAAGACATGCTACAAAATTCCTGCATATAAAAGATTATTACCAAAGTATTAATAGATGTTAAAATGTTCTTCAGGATGGAGTTGGTTCTAGAAGCCAAAAAGATTCTGGAATGACACTCATGATCCCGACTGACACCCTGGGAGAAGTAGTTAGTAATATATATATTCTCTACAGTTACCAACTCCCCAGTTCTTTGATGGGATTGATCCTTCCAGGCAATAGCACCTCACAGGCAGATACCCTGCTGATCAAAGAAGCAAAGAACTTTCCACCCTCCTAACATTAGCCACAACTCAATTTAGCCAACATCTAAATTAATTTTAAAAATCTAGATGTGGGAAAGATAACTCACAAAGTTTCTATTCTGAGTAGCAGGATTCTACTTGACACATCCCCCCAAGGATGACTGTCAATGTAGTAGACATGGAAGATGACACCAAGTAAGGAAATAGGGAAATCCTGACTCCGATTACGTCAACAGACAACTATTGCTCACCGGTGGGTTTAAAACTAGCAAGGCTGAGTGAGGTTGGATTCTCTAATATACACATTCAGGCAAGGTATTTACCCACCTGCCCTTTGGGAGTGCTTTCCACCAACATCCAGTTCATAATTTTAAAGTGCAAATCTATTGAAAAATAGTTTACTCTCCCCCACCCCCTTGTTAAATTTGCAGATCATAATTTGGTTGGCTGGTTCCCCCCTAACCCGCCCAATATGGGAAACATAACATAGAATCCAGTTATGACTTCTCCAAGTGTTAAGTGAAAATTTTTCTTAGGTCAGATAAAGGTAAGACTCCGTCTAGTTCTTCCTTTGAGTTTTCTTCCTTTGCAGTCACTGGTTTATAAAAAAGTAGGAACAGAGATAGAGATGTGGGATTTCTGAAGTTCAGTCATTTTTAAAAAACATATCCTTAAATTTTTTATTGCACCTATTTTATGGTTTAACAAAAAACAAACAAACAAAAACAAAAACCCTCATGCTAGAGTGAAGATAAAGGAATATGGTCAAGTTAGCTGTGTCAGAAGCACCATCTCTGCTATACTGAACCTTGTTTTATATTTTATTATTTACAGACACATTGAGCAACCCCAATAAAGAAAATGTATGCCAAAGGGATTTATTTCTGGTAAAGGATAAGTTTCAGTTTAGCAGTTAAGCTTTCTCCCTTTACCGCTACTTACAGTGGAAAATCTTTGTGAACTAACAGACTGCGGTTAGAGACACTAACTACTCATGATAGATGTTTTGACACTTCTCTCCAATTTTTTTAAGTTAATGATTAAATCCAACCTTTCTAGGCCCTACACTTTCCCCATTTAGTCCTAAAAAATCCAGGTGGAAGATTTTGGGTCACAAAAATAACTACCTTCAACTTTACTTACACATCACCAATTCTGAGAATAAGTCAATAGGTTAAGATTCATTTTTTTTTTTAAAGATTCATTTCTTATTCATCCTTATTCTGTTTCAGACCACTGGTAAAACATCGCAGAAGAAGCATCTATTCAAGTCAAAATTTCTCTTTCCAAACAGGAACCACATTTAAGTATCTTATCTTATACCACCTCTATTTGTGGAATGGATCCAGTAACCAGACATTCTAATTACATCCAAAATTAGTGTCTATACCAGCTAACTTTCACATATGATTACCAAATTTTATATAACATTTCTCTGTATTTAATGACTGCTACAGTCTGCAAAATTCTGTGCATTGGACAATGAATGAACACTTAGAGAATGATGACCCATTTTCTAGAGTAGACTCAAAATGTTAAACTTTAGAGCAAAGCAAAACCTATGATAAAGTTGGAGTCTGTTGATAGTAAAAGAGAGGTAGGTAAATAATTGCTGTCCTAAGATAAGCAAAATGCTAAGAAATAAAATTGAGACCCAGCTGAAAAAAAAAAGTAAGTTGAACTGTCCAGCCCTGAGTTTCTAATGTTATGTGAGAATTACTAAAATGAGCATTACAAAAGAGGGAAACACCAATGACCATTTCTTTCCATCCAGGATTATTAAATACATCACCTTTGCTCATACAACTCAGGTGGCACATGGCTACAGGGTGAAAATATTAGTAAATGGACCCTTGACAAAAGGAATACAGGTATAAAGCACTGGTTCTTAACTAGGGGCGAATTTGTTCCCACAAATGATGCCAGGGGACAGACGGCAATGTACGAAGACATTTTTGGTTCTCACAACTGGGGAGAAGGTTCTACTGGCATCTAGTAAGTAGAAGGCAGAGATGCTGCTGAACACCCTATAATACACAGGATAGCCCCCCACAATATTATCGAGCCCCAAATGCTGATAGTGTCAAGATTGAGAAACTCTGATTTAAAGGAACAAACTCCTATTAACAGAGAACACAAAATCTTTCAAAGCCTGACCAGGTAACACAGCCATAAGCTTTGAGTTAGGGAACATAGAAAAGGTGAATCCTTGGAAGACTAAAATCCGATTTCCTGTGGAAAGATGAAAATGCTGGACAGATTCCAGAGCTCTACCATCATTACAAGAATAGAAGAAATTTAAATGATCCACCAAAATGGCAAGATGCTTTAAACCAGGAGCACAGAGAGAAGCCATTCCAAGTAGGTCAAAGATCTAATCCAAGAAGCATAAACCAAAGGCATTTAATATCAGCTAAATTTGTAGCAAAGGATAGTTTAAGAAATGGTTTGAGAAAATATTCTGAACTTCTTCATACACCCTATCTTCCATTTTCTAATGGCATGGATTCTAGCTTTAATTCCATAAAAAAGATACATAGAAGTCAATCGAATATTTGTTGAGTGGAACTGAATGTGAATTTTGTGTGAAATGGACACAAAAAAAGCACCTTACATATCTCTGAGAACTACCAGTGATTAAAAGACATTAAGAAACAGAAAAAATTAGTTTCTATACTGCAGAATTAAAAAAAAACCACAAAAAAACAAAACAAAAAACACTAACACTGTAAGTAAGCCATTTTATAAAAAAAAAGAAAAATCCATATGAAGTCATCCATTCCCTATTATATTCACTTCCAGAGTAACTTTTAGAAAATAGATCCATAGATAGCAATATGGCTTCAAGCTTGTCTACTAGATGAAGTTCATGTTATAAGTAAAGAAAATCATCTTCCCTTGCAGCTTCTAGGCCTTAAAATCATCAAGGGGAAAGCTTACTGTCTATGGTTCACAAAAGAAATAACCAAAGGCTTTGAATTATAAGCCAGTCAGAGTAAAGATTTCTTCCTATCAGATTGTAAGGAAGAGCTAAAAGGAAGTTAAAAGAAAGTGATTAATTAATTTTCCCTTTTGTTTGTATATTTAGAATTGATTGTCAAAGCAGTGGTCCCTTTTGATCAGAGTGACTATGAGAAATCATACAATTCCTATTTAAATGATAACTGAAAACTTCTGAAACCCAACACTCCTTATACAATCACTTTTTAAAAATGGCTCTTCCTTATTTGACTGATTTTACACAAGTAAATGGGGAAATGAGAATCAACAGTCTCTGGTTGAGGGACTTTAGGCACAATTTGGCAGAGGGCCTCTGACTTCTTTTCTGCACCTATTAGGGATTTTGGTCATGGCCTCCTATGGACTTCATCTGGTTACTAACTACCATATCTTGCATTTTCAAAAAAGAATTTTTTTCTTATATGATAAATTCTAAGCTCTCCAACCAAAGCAACAGCTTTGCAATTTTGAGGTTAAATCACCTAAAATGCTTCACAGAGGAGGCAATCCTCAAAAATAATTGCATTTGCCTGGGATCCGATAATGACACATCTCTTTTCTCTCTACAACCACTTACATAATTCGTTTTAAGAGCTGTTTAACTTAGAACTTTTCTAAAAATATATTTTGAAATACTAAATTTCATTTATTATCCAGTCTTTAAGTTCTATACCCTTAAAACAATCACTTCTCCCAACATAAGGGTCAACAGACCAAAGTTATTAGGGCAAATTTTGACATATATGAATGGCCAAGATTTAGGCTAGGAATTCAAATATAACTGCTGCTTATATATACTTATTTATACAGTAAGTCCCTGACTTACGAACATTCAAGTTGCGAACTTTCACAGATAGGAACAGACCTCGCATTTCGAACATTCTGCGAACAAATCACAGAAATAGCTCACATGTCTGCCGGACACTGTCATAGTTGTGCTGCTGTGTGCTCACTGTACAGTGCGATAGTGTACAGTAGTGCAGTGCTCAATCAGAGCCCAGGATGTCAGGAAGCAAGAGGAAAAGCAGCTCCACCATCTCCCACCAACCCTCCCTCCTCCACTTAGTAACTCTCTTCTTGTCAGTTCACTCCATGCAATCCCCTATATGCCAGTTGCTGTACTGTGCTGTACCACCATTTAAGGTAACTGTAAAAGTAAAAATAGTTTATTTACAGTATTTTTGTGTGTTTAGTTTTTTTATGCTTTACATTGTATATTTGTGTCAAAGATGTGTAAGACTCACTTTATCAGACTTATGAACGAATCCGACTTATGAACGTTCTCTTGGATCGGAACTCGTTCGTAAGTCCGGGACTTACTGTATAAGGAACTATAAACTAAAAAGTGTGCCTAAGATCAGGTTCACATGAGTAACACGGCCACAGTATTGATCAAAGGAATAATCATAACAGCCATTTTAACCACTGACCTGGATCACGGAATGACTGACTAACCACGTAGTGACTCTAGTGGCCACGCACGTACACACAACCTAAATTCCAGTTAACAACGCATACATTTTTGGAAAAACAAATGAGTAAACATAACATGGGCTTAAAGCCTCCAAAATATTAATTTTTCCTTCCCCCCCACCCCACAGCTTTTCCACTATGACTCTGGAGTCTTGGTTCTACAGCTGCTGCTGCATTTCTAAGAGGAACTCTTCCCGTCATCATGCTGCCTTTGGAACCAAAGGCATGACATGTTTGTGCTTCGGAGTCATACGGAAATGGACCTTCAAGAAAGATGGTCTACAGATTCAAAAGTTAAGTATATATATTTAAATATCTGGCCTAAAAGAATTGAATAAAGAACCACATTTGTTCCTTTGTTGTTAAAAATGATTGGTCTATACAGGTTTCAGTAGATGAGGTTACACAGTACATAACTGGGACTGAAGACAAAAATTGAAAATTTATAGTGTCTAAAAAGAGGACTACAACATATAAGGTTGGTGTTACCATTTGGGGGGAGAAACACTGAATAGGTTAAGAAAAAAATAGGACTCAGAGATTCGTTTTACCTTAAGAACCTTTCGCCCGACACAGAATCTTTAAAATAGATAATTATAACAAAACTTATCTATTGTTCCTATGACATTTAAATAAGTTAACACACAGCAGAGAACATGGTGTTAGTTTTCTTCTTCTTCATCCTCTTTAATTACTGGGGTACCTAAAATGAAAAAGAAAATTATTTCTGGTCATTCTCAATGGATTGTTAAAATTCTAAATGAAAATATTTCCCGTTAACCTGAAAAGCTCTGAGACGCTGTGAAGTGTGCCATAACAAAAATAATTTCATAAAATAATCTCTTCTATTTCAAATGATCAGAAAAGCCTTTCAAGAGAATTCTCAAATGGATTAATATAAGTACTTATGAATATCTGGCTCTCCAAATGCAGAGTTGCAAATAAAGCTGCCCAAAGGTGCCAGGCAGAAAAATAAAGCCCTATACATACTAAAAACTTTGTATGTTAAACACAAAGAAATATTCATTTTTCACAATAAAATATGCAATCCCAGTATCGCCAGAAATCTGAATTTTTATGTTCTTCTCTCAAGTATTAAACACTGGGAATAAATAGAGGAAAAACTAAAAAGAACCAAAGCACAGAAAACAAAACTCATCTGCAGGCTCTCACCGGGCCAAGGGCCACCCATTTCTGAGCTCCAGCATTTGAAGCCTGCTCACAGTCTTACCGGGTCAGCTATTCAGACTTAACTCTTTAGCCTGTCACCTTCCACTCCAGCTAAACTGATCAGTTCACTGTCTCCCAAACTCATCTTGCACACTCTTACCACTGGACTCTTGGTTAACAATTTTTCCCTTTTGGAATGCCCTCCCCAAGTTTCCTTCCATCTAAACCCTACCCTTAATTAAGAACCAACTCCAGTGCCTCTTTCTCTGTGATCCTTCCTAAATGAACATTTATATTCTTTATGGCAGTGAGCAGAGTTTTCTCTCTCTATACTCCCCACACGATCAGTTTGCTGGGGGTGGGGGGTGGGGTTGCTGGTGAATGTTTTATTGAAGTATAGCATAGATACAAAGTACACAAAATACACAAAAAGTGTACAGATAAACATACACGAAGTGAACATAGCTGGTAATCAGCACCCAGATTAGGAAGAGAACATTATCAGAGCCCCAAAAACCTCCTCAGGTCCCCTTCCAGTCACTATCTCCCCACAAAAGATATAATTTATCCTAATATCTAACACCATAGGTTGTTTTGCCTGTTGTTGAAATTTATATGAATGGAATGGTATAGCATGCACTCTGTGTCTGGCTTCTTTTGCTCAACATTGTGTTTGTATGATTCATTCATATTGTGTGGAGTTGTAGTTTATTCTTTCTCACTGCTGTTTAATATTCCATTGTATGAATATATCATAATTTATTTATCTATTCTATTATTGATGGGCATTTGGATTATTTCCAATTTATAGCTATTAAAACAGTGCTGTCATGAATGTTCTCATACATGTTTTTTGGTAAACATACATACCCTTTTCTTTTGGGGTATACGGCTAGGAGAAAAACTGCTGGGACACAAGGGATATGTATGCAGAGCTTTTGTAGATGATGGCAGTTTTCTACAGTGGGTATACCAAGTTACTTTACCATTCAGCATATGATGAGAGTTCTAGTTGCTCCACATCCCACTAACATCTGGTATTATCTGTCTTTTTAATTTTAGCTTTTTAAGATCTATCAGTTTTGCTTTATAAGCAACAGAAGAGGAGCAAAAACAGGCAAGTTAGCAGCTGTGGCCATCTCTGTTCTGGCTTGTCCCACTGGTTTAGTACAGACCAACGTGGTTTTTCTAGGGGCTGTTCAGATTGGACTGAGGGTACTACTTGGTCCAGAAGGCTATGATGTGGCTTGGTCTGTTTACATGAGGGTTCTGTCACATTCTTAAGGGAAGGGCTTCACTTCCTGTGTGCAGTGCCAAAGGAAGTAAAGACAAATGATTTCAAATGGTTTCTAGAATCCAGCTAAAGGTGAACAGAAAAAGGCTGACGTCCAACACTCTAAGGTCTCTACCCTCTCTTTTTTTTAATTTTAATTTTTAATAGTGAAATATTCATTCATAGAAATACAATACAAATAATTTAAAGAGTAACAAAACCAATGACTGCATACCCATCACCCAATTTGGAACTAGATGGAACATTACCAGTATCTCAGAAACCTGCTTGCCTCTTCCTTAGTATTCCTGTAGCTCCCACAAGAGGTAATCTACCATCTTTGTCATTTTACCCCTAGGTACGTATCCAGAGAAATAAAAGAGGACATTCTGCATGATGCCATTTATACAAAATTCTATAAAATACAAACTAATCTATAGAGACAGAAGACAGATCGGTGATTGCCTTGAGAGGGACAGTGGCAAGGAACAGAGTGAGAGATTACAAAGAGGCACAAGGAAACTTTTGGGGGTGATGCATATGTTCATTATCTTGTTTTCCTCAGCTTTACAAGATATGATTGACATATTACATTGTGTAACTTTAAGGTATAAACATGATGATTTGATATACGTATGTATTATGAAATAATTACCAAAATAAGGTTAACACATCCATCACCTAACAGTTTCCTGTGTGTGTGTGTGGATTAGAACTTTTAAGATCTCCTCTCTTAGCAACTTTCGAGTATACAATACAGTATTGTTATCTATAGTCACCATAATATATGTTCACTATCTTAACTGTGGTGATGGTTTCAAAGGTGTATACATATGTCAAAACATATCAAATTACACAGTTTAAATATGTGTAGTTAATTGTATGTCAATTACAAATCAATCAAGCTGTCAACATTTTTTGGTGTAGGGAAAGAGCTACTTAAGAGCCTTTTATGTCACTACTTCTCAACAGATGAGCACAGCTCTTCCAAGGAGGCATATCAGAATCATTGGTAAAACTTATTCAAACTACATAGCTCTCCTTTAATCTCCCCCAGAGATTCTGAAATATCCCTCCATAGGGATGTGGTGCCACTTAAGAACCGCCACAGTAAGCTGAGGTTGAGTACTGAACTTTAGATAGAGGTCGTAAAGGAGAGATGGAAAGACACGGAACAGAAAGGACAGAATGGCAGGGCAGGGGTGGTGAGGAGGGGAGAGAAGGGCTGAGGAACAAGGAAGCCTCAACCACAGACAACTAGATCCTTTTGTTTTGGATGGTGAATATCAGTATGAGTATGGCGATGAAGACAATAAGGAAAATATGCATTTGGTATATGGGATGATGACCATCATCACCGTGTAGCTGGATATTACTTGTTTCTTCTACATATTTTCTCTCCCCACCCCCGCGGCTGCCCCATTCAATCAGGTAGGCTGGTCGGCTCTGTGCATCACTGCTTCAGGAACAGTGTGGAAATCGGAGACAGACTGTCAGACCTACTGGCTTTTGTCTTTGAAAATCCTAACAAGATCACTGAGAAGATAGATTGTGAGAAGATGCAGAATGATGTGGAAAAGAAGGTGGTGGTGGGGGGGACGGGGGGGAGGAAAATAGTGGTTCTCCTCAGACTAAAAAGATATTTTCCTGGGGTAACAGCAAAAAGGGACATCTGTGGGTTCTGGAACAGTCAGAATCCTGGTCTGGCTTCCTGGTAGCACCACTGGGAAGGGGTAAGACCCAAAGAGGTCTGTGACTGCTATCATTTCCAGTTTTTAGATTACAAAAGAAAAGGTTTGGTGAGATTAAGTAGCACATGACAAAAAAGATAATAAGTGGTAGAACTGGGACTTGAATACAGTCAGCCAGGGATATCTACTGGCGTGGATACCTATCTTTGATACTCAGAAACTAAAATTGGCAGGGAGGAGAATAGAGAACACTACAATTTTGATCCAACTGTGAAAAAGCAACTACTTAACATTTATGTCTAATTAGTCTGCAAAATAATGCCTTTGTGACTTGAGAATAAGACCAGCTTTCTTATAATCGTTTTGTTTAGGGGTGATCTTATACCAGTCTAAATATCCTAGGAGTTTTTCATCTCACCCTGGCCCAAGTCTGGACCATAAAATTTCCTGTGGACAGATTAGAGACGACCTATCACTTTCTTTAGTTTTCCTCCTTTTCATGATTCCATGTCACAAATTCAATTCTTATACCTAGAAAACATCTCCAAGCTGGCTCAGAGTCACTCACCGTCCAACTTTTTCAGTTTGGGCACTCTCTTGGTTGCCTCTTCAATCCAATTCCCTTCAGCGGAATGTTTCTCTTCCAAGGGATTGCTTACAAATACCAGGTCTTCCAAGCATGGCAGCTCTGCCAGTTTCACAAACTCAGCTACAAGTACAAAGAATACATTCCACATTAAAATGGCAAGTTTTACTGTTACCATTTTTGAGGTTGAATTCCAATATCACTGTTTGTGACTATTCAGAACAATTTGTTGTTTAAGATTTTGAAAGAAATACAGGAAGTTAGACCATATGAAGTCATTCTCTGAAGACATTACGGAAAGGGAGGAAAAAAGAAGACATACCTCTCCTACTTTTACGCTAGCCTACGGATAGGATAAGAAGAGGAAATTAGGTTCAGAGTAAAAAAGAACAACAAATCATTCTCCGGTGACAGGTCTTCACTATGCTGTACTGCATCGCTATGGGCTTAAAGCTAAACTGCTTCTGTCTCTACCCAGTCCCTCATCTTTGAATTATCTTAAAGCAACTCGTTTGAGCCTCTACTGCAGAACTTATCACAGTTTCATAATTATCAGCGTATAAACTAACCTTCCCCACTAAGATGTGAACTGCTCAAGGGCAGGGACAGTGTCCTATTCAACTATGTTTCTCAAGAGCCTGGCATATAGTTCATGGCACATAATAGGGCTTTAGAAAATGCTGAATGAATAATATACAATAAAAAAACAAAGCAATATAGATGTCAAATAAATCTTCTGCCCAAGAATTGTTAAACTTAAACGAATTTCTTTCCGCCTTTGGACAATAATTTACATTTTGTTCATGATTAACAGTACCAGGATCTATTCAATTATAATCATTCTAAATACTGAAATGTAAATTTCACGCGTTTAGCTAAAATATAGGAACTCCTATAGCTATTTCCCTCTGTGCTTAGGAATAAATGTCCCCATTTTGCATCTTGTTTCCTATTGGGCTATTTTCTATAAAGAGGAGGTAGGTTAGGAAAGAGCGAGCCTCAGCTTACCCCAGTCTTTCACCAGGTTATTAGACATGTAGAGAATCTTCAATTTTTTCATTACATGGATCCCTTTCAACTTCTCAATAAAATTGTAGGAGATCCACAGTTCTTCTAACGTGTCTCCTACTGCCTCCTGCAAAAAGAAAGCAACTTTATTTACATGCTTATTTTTAAGCTGTTCCTTCAGTCCCCTTCCCTATAAACATAAAGACAATGGCCTTCAGAGGAAACTGAGACCCACCTGTCCACTGGCAGGAGAGCTGAAGGCTGTGTGGGAGTTTTTTCTCACTAAGAAAGTCAAGTAGAACATTCTCCTCCTCTCTTCAAACTGATCTGAACTAAGGATAGCTACTGAATTCACCAAGAGGGGAAATAATAGCACTCATTTTATCACTTTTATTGAGTGGTATAGTTTTCAAATTAGTTCCCTATACATTATATTATTTGATCCTTGTAACATTTAAGATAGGCAAAGCAGGCTATCTGATTTCTATGATACAGAGATTAAGGGCTTTTTCTAAGATCACAATACTATTAAATAGTATAGCTGGGTATAAATTTCAGTGGTTTTTTTTTTTTCAATATTTATTATGGAAACTTTCAAACAAAAAATGTTGAAAGGATTTTAGGATTTTGTAGTAAATACCCATATAGCCATTACCCAGATTCTACCATTAATATTTTGCTATCCTTTCCCTATCATATATCTGTCCATCTATCCACCCCATATATCTATTAATTCATCTTTTTTTTTAATGTATAAAATTCAGGTTAAAACCCATAGTCTTTCCATTATAGTATAAATATTATATCATACCGACTCTTTTTTTTTTTAAAGATTTTACTGGGGAATTGGGGGGGGGACAGCATTGGGGAATTGGGGGAAGGGGAACAGACAAGTCGCTGTCCTTTTGTTCTTCATTGTAGTTGTGGAGGACGTTGCTTCACTGGCGCATGTTGGTATTATCATTGTGCTCTTCCTGCATAAGGCAGATCGGTCGCCGGCCACTGGACGGCTGCTCACAGCGGCTCTTGCTCTCGCCGGCTGCCAGCCACTCACCGTAGCACAGCAGCCCACTGCAGCAAAGGGTGCAGCCTACGCCGTCGCCGGTGACTCACGGCAGCCCAGCTCCAGGTTGAGCTATTGTTCACCATCATAGCTGTAGAGGGCGCAGCATCACTGGCCCACATGTGGGATCTGAACTAGGGCCCTGCTGCTCAGAGCTGGCGTCCCAAGCCAACTCCTAACCAACACGCCACTCGGCCGGTCCTATCATACTGACTCTTAAATGATAGATAGAATCAATGGTGGCACAAAGACTTCCTTCTTTTATAGACAGAAGAAAAAATGGAATGGCTATTTTTTTAAACAAACAAAAAATACTAGGCAAGATCAATCAGTTGCTCAGTCCCCTCCTTAATCCAAAAAATTTACCAAACACCACATGGTAATGTCTAGAATGTGGGGCTCACATCTATGTCCTGGTAACTGTCCCTTTAAAGATGATAGAGAGAATAAATGTACCCCAGATAAAAATCTTTAATGCATGCATTTTCCATATTGGTGGAACCAAAGGGAAAAATCGAGACTGGAGTGGCCTAGGTTAGTTCTGTGTGTCATTTTAACTCACACAATTCCTCTTAGTTTCAACTTTCGGAGTAGAAGAAACAACAGATCAGAGTAAAAGAAACTTAAATCAGTCCATCCTGGTACTTTTATATCAGAACTTTGTGATTTAGCCAACCCCCTTCAGCTAGTATTCTGATATCTCCTTCCAAAGGATCTAATTAGTATATCATATATGTCTTTTAGAAGAGGGAAATCAGTCTTCATATAATTTAAACATTATTGCATCATTTTCATTGCATTGTATCACCATCTATCTCATGTCTCCAATTTAGAAAGTGCGAGGTAGCAGAAAAAATACTAATTAAATACAGACTAGAAGATTTAGGCTCAATTCCGGCTTCTGCCACTGATTTAGGGTTGTTTTACATGTACAGATGAGGACACTTGGTCAATTTTCACATAGCCAATTTCAGTAGTTCTCCAAATAGCCAATTTGATGAATTTACTTTTACTGATGTACTGAAAAATTGTTTACTTACAAATTATAGTAATTTGTTTTAGATAGCATAGGATAGGATAGAAATTCCTTTACATACGATAACTTTGAAAATGTCTATAATGCTTTGTTCACTCACTTGAAGTGTTAATTTAGCTTTAGTTTAGTTTTCAGCCATTTGGATGCAGCTGTTTTGACACATCTGGGGACTTTTCTTGGGAATATGACTTTGCAGAATGAGAATTTCTTGTGCATATTGACTTACAACTGCCGTATAGATTTTGAATGTCCAGGGTATAGTTCTATCTTCCAGCACATTGTCAATCTATTCCACTATCTTTTGTATACTTCCCTAAATATAAGCATTTGCTAACTAGCTCAATTTGATTACTATTTTTATGTGTTTTAATCATTTGAGAAGTGAGCAGTGCCTAAAATATGAAACTGACACTCTACAAAGATGGACTGATAAGTCTCAACAGCTGGATGAAACAGCTGCAATAACAGTAACACTAAATAAAAATTTAAAGACAATTTCAAAAGGTGTTGAAACCATTCCAAGCAACACAATTTTCTATTTATTTATAAGTAGGTAATAAAGACAAGATTTTGGTAAAGCAACCTGGTGAATATCAATCAGCAAAATCTGGCTAAGTTTATGTGAATCAATTCAATGCAATCTGTCATTCAATAAACTG